GACTAAGTTCTAATTCAAGTATAAAAGTCATGAAGCGACAGAAAATATAAAAAGTATTATGTTTAAATTATGGTATTGTCATGAATAAGTAATCCCCACACCAACAAGTCGCTTCGTTGCTGCGCTAAAGTGAGATTCTTTAAATGGAGTTGCTAAAAAATAAAAACCATGTAGAAAGAAGTTAATCAAAGCTTTAATACCCATAAGAGGTCAATGTCAAAGAACTTATAAAGTGTGAGAAAACTAAAAAGCGTAAATTTCAAAGGATTCAATAGGAGATAATATATAACCTGAACGATCTTCTTCAGCACACCGATAGCTATCCTAGGGAGGCCAATATTATATGGGTAGTTGAGATAGCCCAAGAGTACAGCAGCATACGGCTCCCGAGTAAGCAGACCAACATGGGCGTAGACTTGATTCAATAGACTGGCCTGAAGTTGGCGGACCGACGAGCCACCACTCGAACCAAGAATGTTGCTGCAACCAGAGACAGGCAAAGAAGAGCCAAGCGAGAGCAAGTGATGCACAAGAGTTAGGCTGAGCCAGACTACACGAGAGAGCCGGCCACCGACGCCGGCCATCCCTGAGTGACTGGAATGTTCAGTCTGCCAGCTGACGCAGAGCAGGCTTTCAAGAGAATTTTTTAAATAAGACAAGAGTAGGTTTGAGAAATAATTGTTTAAATAACTAGATTGAAAAACTTTGATAAAAAGATCGAGTATTCATAAATAACGAAATGAGCTGACCAACCTCCAGTACAAAAGGACTTTAAAATGCTATGGTAGCTTCCTGAAATAAGAATGTTAGCATTAACACACAGCTGGACTTTTTAGCAGCTTATCATGGCTGCAAGTCAAATTCAAAATGAAGCAGAGAAAGGTCAACTCAACTATCGAGAGATAAAATCCTATACAATATACTTTTTATTTAAAGAGATTAGGTGAAAGCCTTGCCAGCTATCAATCAACGGTTAAAAGTGGATATAGGAAAAAGTAGATATAAAAGAAAAATTCGGAAAGTTTCAGGCCAAATATAAGAATGTCCGGTAGTGTAACAGCAACAAAGTTTAAGAGAAATCCAAATAATTAAATATTTTAATTTTGTCAATTTTGAATATAAAAAACGCCTGACAGCATATCTTAATGAAATTTTTTTAGATACTGGCAAAATGGTGAAAAAGTACCTCAACATGATTTGGCAAGTTGGATGAAAGTATAGTACAAAATAGTATAAGGACTAGAAAAAACTTGTCAAAAGCAACAAGGGCTCAATTTAAATTGTTAGGAGATGGAGTTAGAAAGGGGACCAAAATATCTTTTTTACTATAAGAATTATGGTGAGGCAAGACGACTGAGAAGATCTTTCTATTGGAAAACATTTGCCCTGATATCTCGGAGTTAAAAAAGGCTGAAAGATTTTATCGTAGATGATGTGGCCTTCTGCTTAATCGCAGTCTCCTTTAGCTTAATAGTGTTGGTTCGAAATTATTTTCGCAACTTACTCGGAGCGTTAGGGAGACCTTGTGGAACGTACCTAGTCCCATTTCCTCAGCCATAATATTCGTGATTTTCAGCATTGGACTTTGCTAATGTGTAACTTTGTACTTACGATGGCGCATCTCACTGATGATGCCGACTACGATGCTGGCAAAACGTTTGGGAATGTACCAAATCAAAGGTCCAATACTGGAAATCACGAATACTACGGCAGAGGACACGGGACCAGGTACGTTCCACAAGATCTCCCTGACGCTCGGACCAAGTTGCGAAAACAAGGTCGAACCAACACTGAAAGATTTTATTGCAGGACAAATGATCAAACGTCTGTCTATTGAACTATCTAATAGCTAGTTCGAACAGCCTAACTGCTATTAATGCATCACGGAGAACTAGGAATGGAGAACTTGAACTATACTTAGAGAACCAAAACTTGCCGT